ACCAGCAGAAAAACTATAGACAAAAAGCAGCCTCAAAAAAAAAAAAAAAAAAAAAGGTAGTAATCAAACCAGAATGGGTATCACAGTGAGTCTTCTAATCTTCAGTGTAGTTGCCTATACTGCAGACTTGATACTATCAATCATAACAGTTTTGAATAAAATCTATCGACACCAAACAGCAATCAAACAAACCAGATTTAACTAAGATCAGTCATGATAAAACAGTATAAGTCATGCAAGACTCCAGATTAATAGGAAATTAAAGATGATTACTGTGCTATATCCTGATGTTTTGGGGATAGCTGTGTGTGCCCTCAAATCTAATGCAAGTAGACAAACTGGGACAGAATAAAATCTATCTAAGCAGAGCAGTGCGAGTAATATGGGTTTTAATTCTTTTTTTTTTTTTTTTTTGGTACTAGGGATCGAACTCACGACTGCCTGCTTCCAAGGCAGGCGCTTATGCCGCTGAGCTAAATCCCCAGCCCCAAGGGTTTTAATTCTTGATACACTATTAATATCTTCTGCCGTCTTTTTAAAGACTATTCCTCCCCTTTCATTTCCCCAGGGTGCACTGTGCACTCATGTGTTTATAGGAATATGTTTTGTTTTGTCTTGCTTTGTTTGTTTCTCCCTCTAATATAGAAAAGATAGAAATACATGTTAAGACTCATGCATGTGTAGAACCTATAAACCATTTATGAGAAATGATCTTATGACACAGGATGAAATGAACAAATATTTTGAAGAAAAAGAGACACTACAGTACCCAGTGCTGATCCTGGAGTGTCATGATGTGAAACCCAGCAATGGTATTATTCTTTGTTTAGAGTGATTTTAGCCTGCTTGGGTTTGTTTAATCTCAACCTAAATGGAGATCTGGATAACTGCATGTATGTTTAAGTGTATAGGATTGATACCCGTATTACTAAGTTTTTGTTGGATAGTTGAACAGAACCATTTGCAGTCTCGCTGTTTGAATCCCCACTTTATATGCTCCACCTTAGTATCTTGAATAACTATTTGTAAGAAGACAATATGTAATCATCAACAAGTGATTATTGGGCACCAGATGCTGGTATGTCAGAGGTGTAATCTACTGCAACGCAAATTTGAATATATTCCTCAGTCAGGTGATTTCTACGCTTAGTGATAAGAACAAGTGACTAAATACAAGGGAAGCTTTATTTCAGTCTTCCTTGGTTTCAGCTTGATTCTTTGTTGTATGGACTTTCTTGGCTGTATGCCCAGTAGATGCCAGTCGCAGTCAGCTAGTCTTCCCCCAGGCAGTGACAGATGCATTGCTGGATGCGTTAGCCCCTAAAATGACAAGCACTCTGTGGCTGCATTGAGGTTTATTAGTGAGGGCAATTTCACCAGAAATACTGCGCTGTCACCTGCACTGAAAGCATAAGCGGTTTTATCGTGTCAATCTTTACCTCCTTCCTTACGAATTCCTATTAACCTGCAAGCAGACAGCAGTAAAGGACGAGTTAAAAAAAAAAAAAAAAAAGAACACTTATTCCCTGGCTATCTAGAGCTAATTTTCGCCCTGAACTTAGTTTGATGTCCAAATGATCAGTCCATAGAAAGCAACAGTAACCTCTGACAAGAACAAATAAAATCGATCTGGAGTAGTGACAGGTATTTTCCAGGTTGCTGCACTTTTCATATCATGCAGGAGGATTCTTACTGTTATCTCCAGGAAAGTACTTGGAAAGCTTGCTTTAATCCAGATATCTCACAAGAGTTCCAAGGAGTAAATTGTGAACTTCCTCTTATACTTTGACGTGTTAGAGGGAGTCAAAATTCTGATTCTAAAGGTAGTGATTATTTTGTAGAGCACATATATCTCTACCCTTCATAAACCTACAGGCCCTTAAAGTACTGTAATAATTTCATGATACTGTACCTTCACAATATGTACACCATATACAGATTGTTTTGCTGATCACCAAAGTGCAATCTAGCCTTTGCAAGATAACTCCATTAAACAGCTATGCAGTGCTTGCAAAAAGATATCTGGAGCCTGGGATTGCATTTATTTATTTTTAAAGGAGTAGCCATTTGATGGTAAGGCCAAATTCAGCAAGTGAGAATACCCTTTCTCTGAATAATACCAGCTGCAGGTTTCACTGTTGCTACCAGTGGGCCATCAATGTTGGGATTCAAGATGCTTGTTTCTTCAGCTAATCACCTATGATGGCTCTTGCTTTTGTTTTACCTCTTTGTGGCATGAGCACGATAGATATAGTGTCATGCTATTCTGTCCTGTCATCTATTAAAATTGAGGTTTTCGAGCCAGGTGTGGTAGCTCAAGCCTGTAATCCCAGCACTCGGGAGGCTGAGGTGGGAGGAGTGTTGCCAGTTTGAGACCAGCCTGGGCTACAAAGTGAGCTCAAAGCCAGCCTGAACTGCATAGTGAGACTCCGTCTCAAAAAAGGCAAAAAATTTGAAGTTTTCAGGTGAATGCCTTAGTACAGGAGTGTTGGAGTTGAGTCTTGGGAGAAGACTGATGAATTTTGTGGAAAGTTATTGTACATTGCAGTGAATAAATAAATCGATTAATAAACTGGTTAACAGAGATGCTTTACCCTGGGAATCAGTGGTACAAATTACTGTGCATTCTGTGTTTCTGTAAGTAAATTAGATGAGACAGACCTGGGTAAAATTCATCAAAAGACAAAAACAAGAAAAGAAAGAAAAACAGTCACCAAAGTAGCCTGACTTGTGGATGTTGACTGATTATTTCAGTTAGTTTTCTCATAGCTGGATATTCTGACACCCTCAAATTTAAAAGGAAAAAGTTTATTTTAGCTCGCGGTTTATAGGAAGTTTCAATGCATCATGGACTGGCTCCAAGACAGGGTGGCATGGCAGAAGAGAAACAGTCCATGGTATGGCAGGCAGGAAGTAGCAGGAGGGAGCCTCCCTTCCCCTTTTTATTGTAGTCAGGCTACAAGCCTCTTAGGTGTACCTCTCCCACCCAAGGTGGGTCTTCTGTCTTCAGTAAACCCACCCAGCAACACCCAGAACTGTGCCAATTTAACCAGAAGATTGATTCCCTTAGTGCACATCCTTAACCCTAACATCTCATATAGCTGCCTCTTGTAAGTTCATTAGGCTTTGGAAGTACTTCTAGATATAAGCCATCACACTGGTAAAAATCCATGTGAATATATATTTTAAGGGAAAATGAAGTCAAGTCTATGCCACCTGCAGCACTGATGAGTTTAGACATCCTTGGGACTCCCTTTAGCAAGCACCCTGGACAATCCACATGTGTCTTACTTAATAAGGGTGAGGGGACAAGTTGGGTGACCTCAATTCCCACCAGAGAGAAGGGAGAGATGCTAGCAGGCATGTGCTGAATATCAGCCCTTTAAAGGGTCCAGTGCTCCATCGGAAAAGCACACACCTTGTTATGCTCATGCAGGAAGAGCCACTTCATGAGGAAGCTCATGCTCTGTCCCAAGTACACTGTACAGAAATAATCCTGGAAGGAGTGGAGACATAACCATGGCAGGAGTGGGTTTCCTGCATCAAGGAGCAAATCAGACGATTTTCCTGTAGAAATTGTGTTATGCTGCTATGTCCTGAATTTGCTGGCAGCTCAGAATAAATAGGCTTTTGAGAACTGATCTAAAAATTCTCCCTATCCTATTGTTTCTTTGGGAGAAATGCCCTCTGAGTTGTAAATAATTCTAAAGGAATGATTTATAAATCTGTGCTTGGTCCATAATCCACTTCTGAATAACACATAGCAGTTTAAAAAATGCATGAAATCTTTGCCAATAAACAGCCCTAGAATCTTTTGCTGATCAGCTGAAAGATTCTATGTCAAATATTCAGTGTCTTATGCTATGTGTTTTCAAATAGAACACTCGCTAGCAATTTGGAAACTGCATTGCAAAATACAACATTTACATTTCAGAAAAGATATCAGAAGTCAGCTTTTTCTGTTGGAAGGAACAGTACTATCCTAAATGACAAGCATTTTGACTTTTTCTTTTCTTTCTTTATTTTTTGGAGGGGTACCAGGGATCGAACTCATGACCTTGCACTTGCCAGGCAGGCACTTGTACCACTAAATGTACCCCCGGCCCCATCCCAAATTTGACTTTTTAAGTGGAAGGTAAAATATGACTGGTGTCTCTACTCATCATGGCCACATTATGTGTGTCCTAACCACAATGCTGGAACATAAACTGTGGCTCTCCCCTTGCAGTAACATGGCAACACATGGAACGACATCTTTAAAGTGTGGGACTTTCCTATCTTGTAAAGATTACAGGTAATTATTCCTGGGAAATAAAAATACAACTGTAGAACATTTTTTACAATACATTAGTAATAGACTATTATAAATAATTTATCTACAACCACAACCTGCACAAAAGGGAATTTAGATTTAACCTTAAACTTACTTCCTTTAGACTTAAATTTAGCTTCTTATAGATTTAAAGTCAACTTCCTGTCATGCAAATTTCACTTCCTGTAGACTTAACCTTAATTTCCTGTAGATTTAAACTTAACTTCCGGTAGATTTGAATTTGACTTCCAGTAGACTTGTTTGTCTGTAATCACAATGCTGATTTTTACTTAGATGCAGGTAATGGATCCAGAAAGTACGAACACAGCACCTATGATTTTAGTCTCTTTTTAGATATTGAAAATGTTTTATTGATTTATTTATTGTCTTTTTGAGACAGGGTCTCACTATGAAGTTTAAGGTAGCTTTGGACTCAGTTTGTAGCCCAGGCTGACCCCAGACTCTCAGCAATCCTCCTGCCTCAGCCTCCTGAGTGCTGGGAATGGCAGGACTACACCAACACCCCTGGATACCATGTTATCTTTTATGATAGAAATATGTGCAGTGGAGCACTTGAGATATCTGGGACTCGTCCATTTAAGTAGGGCTTTCCAGTGAGTGATGTATCAGATCTGTTATCTGGATGTCAGTGCTTCCATTCAGGAGCTGATGTTTTGTTTTCATCCAGGTCCTCCTGGCTAGCAGCTTTGTGCCCATTTACGCTGGACTGAGACCAGTGGAATACCAAGGGCAGGTAAAGTGATCCTAACTAAGAATTTGCCATAACACCCACATTTGCCCATTTCCTGTGAAAGATCTAATTTTATAATTATTCTGGTCAAATTCATTTACATGTATTATACATAGAAATAACTTTTTTCCTGTAAGAAGAAAGAACGTCAAGGACAGGGACTGTAACATCTTACCTCCCAGATGGTATGAATCAGAATGATTGACCAGTTGCTCTTTTCTTCATCACTGTAAAAATTATTTAAATTTAATTTACACCAGGATACTTTTAAGTGCTTTTTGGACATACTGACCATGGTCCATCAGTCCTGGCAGTTTATTGGGTCTAGAAGATGCAGTAAATATCAGACAGATTGTCTTGGTTACATGCTACAGCAGCTCACACACCAAGTGCCACACACCTGCAGAAAACCAGGTCAAGGTGCTCAGTAAGTACTGAGTCCAATGAGTTTCAACACCGCTGAGAAGCAAGGTGTGGCTGTAATATTTGAAACCAGTAAAACAAAAAGTTGTGTTTCATAATACATCCCTGTCACAGCTGCTCATGTAGATGCCAGGAACCAAAGCATGCTGCCGACAACCCCCGTGCTTCTCCAAGGTTCTCTGCTCACGTGCAGAAAGCCAAAGTACAAAGAGATGGATCTACAGAGAATTCGCCTCACTTGGTCTGGCAGCTAAAGCAGGATGCCAGCCCTTTCTAGGAGATATAGAAGGGAGCCCCCATCTAAAATCTAAGCTCATAGGTGGGGGGGGGATAGAGCTCAGTGGCACAAGTGCCTGCCTGTCTGGCAAGCACAAGGCTCTGAGTTCAATTCCCTGTACCAGGAAAAATCAATGCAAAAAATAAAATCTAAGCTCAGTGCTGCCCAGCAGTCTCTTACGCAGCTGCTTATCCAATCTGTGTTTTGCTAAATGCTTACCCTGGTCTGCTTCTTTCCTACTCATTTTATAATCCAGCAGCATTCCTACTTAATATGTACCAGAGAGAGGCATTTCATAATCAGATACTCTGTGTGTTTCACACACTGAAGAGACAAGGAATTTACAATAAAATACAGTATATGTTTAATACATATGAGACACAGAGATATGTATTTTATCAAATACAGTATCTATTTCACAAATACTTATAGTATTTGTCTACCACATAATGAGCTATGCATTATGTAATCAGCTTTGTTTTAACACATATTTATAATCAAATACACTATCCACTTAGCATGTATAAGAGCTGTGAACTTTATAAACAAATATAGTAGTTTTTAGCACACATTCAAAATAAAATATATCTGTTTTGCACATCTAAGAGAAACACATTTTATAATCCAATATAGGATCTGTCTAACGTGTACCAGAAATAGGGATTTTATAATCAGAGATATGTGTTATATAGTCAAATGTCATATTTGCTTAAGATATACCAGGTTTATATTTTATAATCAATATGATATCTATTGAATACATATTTATAATCAATATAATATTATTTAACACATACCAAAGGTACACATTTTATAATCTAAAACACTAATATACTTAATACACCAGAAATATATAGATGGTTGATTATATACTTATAATTAACCCGAATATCTAGTTATGCCAGAAATATGCATTTTACAAGCAAATATATCATGTACTTAACACACATTTATAATCAAATGCAGTATTTATTTAGCACATACCTGTATATGGCTTTTATAATGAAATATACTATGTAGCACACACCAGAGATACATTTGGTCTTGAAATATAGTGTCTGTTTACCATATGCCAGAGATGAGGCATACACAGTGACTCATGGGTGCATGAATCCATTTTGGGGGCAAATTTTTGTTTTGTTCCACAAACTCTGCATAAGGTGATAAACACAACCAAAATCATCTGTTGAACAGGGAAAGGAATCACATTTGCCAACCAAGGACCAATGTATTTGAAAGCGGACCAATGCCATTTGTTGCATTTGTATGTAACAGGCATGTATTTATTTATTCATAAACAAGGACCACAAACTCTTGGAAGGTCACCTTGATACACACACTCCCTCGCTCCAAGTGTGAGCATGGTCCTTTGAGTCCTTTGAGTGCCACAGAGGAGCTATTGGGCTCACAGGAAAGGCAGGAACCGACTTTTACAGGATGGAAGAAATATCTGCATTACAGCCCTCCAGTCTTCAAGATGCGCTTTCCTAGAGACTGCTTTGTGTCTGAATCATCTCCTCTGTATCCCATGTGACTTTCCCCAAACTTGTTTTCCCTGGAACAGGACATAGAGAGAAAGCTAAGGAGGAGAGAATTTAAATAAGTGGGTGAAGACCACTTGTTAAAGTCAGGGGTTGTAAGGAGGACAATTAGAATCAGGACACAAAATTTATAATATTATTTAATGATGGTCACCCAGAGTTAACACAAGAAAGTGCAGGAAATCTATCCACAACACCAAACACATAGAATATTTAACCAAGAGCCTAAATCCCTCAGCAATGTCCCACATGAGTCCAGATCAACACCCAGAGTTCATGACAGTGCCTCCCATGAATCCAACTGGAGCTCCAGAGCCCACAAGAAGGACTCATGCCAGTCTCTTTTATGGATCTGTGCCGGAAAGGCCCAAAGGTCAGCGGTGGAAGCCAGAAAGTCCATGACAGCGGGGTGAAGGACCTGTGCTGGTGGGATGAGGGTTCTATGCTGGAGCCGAGAAGTCACACTCACAAAAAAGACCAGGGCTGCCCTGAAAGGCACCACAGCCATCCTCAGCGACAAGGAGGCCCCAAACTTCTCCAATCATGAGAACAGTTGAATACATGCCAGGAAGCCAGTGTGATGAGTTCATCCTGGAGATCAAGCGGCACATGTCTTCCCCTCCGGAGCCAGGAAGCAATGCTCAATGTGAGGACCAGAGCTTCTCCAGGAGAACCAAAGGCTCAAACAGCAACACGTAGGAGAACCCACAATGCCTCAGTGCCTCACCTCTCGTTCTCCATGTCTCCATGCTGGCAACTTTCCTCAGGTGAAGCATCTATGCTCAGCATCATGGTGATGTAATCCAGCTGGCATTAAATTCTTAAGCCATAACACCTCTGACACACAAAGATGAGACTCCCTCAGAGCAATGCTGGCTCTCTGTTAGTCTATTTGTTAAACATGCACGCAGTAGGTTGTTTGTAGTGATGTACCCTTTCTGTGGCCACTTAGAGACAACATATATATTGATATTTTAGTGTCATAAGTGATTTATCAGCTCATGGGCTCTTTTCTAATTTTACCTATTTTAAATTGCATCTCTCAAAGCTAATGCATATTCTGTTTCCAAGAAAAATATTACGTCTTTTTCCATTTAAAAATTTATTTGCACTCTGTCAGGCTTCAACTTCATGGTTATTATAAATTATCATTTTCCCTCTTGTTATATGAATAAAGGTCAACATTTACTTTTATGTATAAAGTTTTCATAGACATAAAGTTGCTGTGAAAATTTACTTTGTATTGTGAACTTGAATTTTATAATGATCAGAGTTCTAAAATGATTTTGACTTCACGGAGTTGTTTTATAATATACTTCAGCCATAAGAAAAACCATGGTAAAAAAAAAAAACAAAAAAAAAACAGTCCTGAGGCATTTTCTGAGATTTTATATTCCTGTAAAGAGGGATGTATTTGTGTGTTTTCTGTTGCTGTCATAAAATACCTGAGGCTGTGTAGTATGTTTATAAAGAGGTTTATATACCTCACAAGGGTTTGGATTCTGAAAGCCACTGGATAGATGGCTCCATCTCTTTTATCTCCCATATGGATCTCTCTAGGTGTGACAAAAATGGTGCCCTATTGGGAGTTTGTGTAAGAAAAGAAATCACATGCTGAGACAACAGGCTGGAGAAATTCAGAGCACAGGCTTGCTTTTTTATAACCTGCTCAGGCAGGAATGGACTGGGTGCCATGAGAGATGACTTCATCCCCAATAATTTCGCCCCCTCCGTGATTGCTGCCTCTGCCATTTCTCAGATCACTCCACTGGGGACCAACTTTCCAGCATGGAAACCTTTGGGGCACAGACTCAAGCCACATCCAAATATAGTAAGGGGACTCAGAGATCAAAATGTATCAGAACTGGTCACAGGAGCACTGTATTTTAAGAGGTGGTGACTGAGATTGTGTAGATAAAGTGTATGAATGATGTCGCAGGTAGAGAGGCTGGAATAAAGCCACAACTGAGTCCCAGAAAGCAGCATGCTCTGAGACAATCCAAAACATTTCTGCTTATAAAACTACAAGTAGCAGAGTCAGGAAAGCAAATCAGATGGCAGAGGCTGGAAATTCTTTCCTGATACAACTTGCTTCTTTCTTAGTGATAGATTCTCAGTTTCTAGCTAAAAGGGGAGCTGTGTAGCTAAAAGGTTACAAAGTCTTAGTTTCCCCTGCAGGTAAGTAGGGCCATCCTTTTAATTGTTGGGCAAAGAGATACAAGTGGAAACACCATTGGACATGCAAGGAGGAAAGTTGTATTATCAGTGAATAATATGTAAGCTGAATTACTGTGGGAGCTAGAGGGAGGGAATCTTTGTATCTTTCTGTTTTGTTGTTCTTTCATGTTCCCTGGTAATTAGATATAGTGATTGCAGCTGCAACAGCCATTGTGTAACACTAGGTCAAAGATCACCAGATAGCTTGGCATGATGCTGCACAACTGTTAATTCCAGCACTCGGGAGGCTGAGGCAGGAGGATCACTGTAAGTTCGAGAGAAGCCTGGGCTACAAAGGGAGCTCAAAACCACCTGAACTGCATAGATTCTGTCTCAAAACAGCAAAACACACAAACAAAACACTAAATAGAGAGCTGGAAAAGACTGGACCCTGACATCTTTTTGGGGATAGTAGTATATGTTTAGGGGCTACTTTACCAATCTATTCTCCATATTCTTCTCAAAAGAAAGAGAAGTAAAACTTCTGTTGTTATTATTGCATATACCAGAGTACAGTAATATCTGCTGTAGGGATTATTACCCTC